CGTATTCGCGGAAGAGGTCCATCAGCGCGTCGTAATGGTCGCGGTTCACCCAGTCACGCTGCCACTCGAGCACCGTCGCAACGCTCGTCATCCGTACGGCGCCGGCCTGCGTCATCCGCGACAACGCTGCCTCGTGCGCCGCAGGGGAAGTGCCGCCGACGGCGTCATCGACGACGTAGATATTATAGCCTTCGGCCAGCATCTGCAGCGTCGGCCACGTGATGCAGACTTCGGTCCACAGGCCCGAGAGGAGAATGTTCTTCCGGCCGGTCGCCTTGATCGCTTCGCGGAACTCGGGGCTGTCCCAAGAGTTCATCCCCGTACGCTCGATCGGCGTCTGCTCTGGGAAGACATCAAGCAGTTGCGGCCACATCGGCCCGCTGAAGGACTCGGTCTCGACCGTCGTCAGAATCGTAGGCACGCCGAACTCCTTCGCTCCGCGGGCAAGTAGCAGCACGTTGTTCACCAGCAGCTGACGATCGATGCCGCTGGCGACGCCGAATAGCATTTGCGGCTGGTGATCGATGAAGACCAGGACCGAGTTGTCCGCGGTGATCAGGCCGTTGTCGGTGTTGGGGAGGATGTTTGGCATTTTCGGTTTCCTAACGTCAGAGTTTGGTGGACGTAAGCCGTGGAATCAGCAGTGAATCAACAATATCAAGCAAGGTCAAACAGCATCACTTCGGCGGGGCCGACAGCTTCGATCGTCAGTTGCGTCTCGTCGCTAACGGCGGCGCCGTCGCTGGTCTCTAAGCGGACGCCGTTTAGCTCGACCGCGCCACGCAGCACTTGCAGCCAAGCATGACGGCCCGCGGCGACGTTCGTCGTCACCGAGCGTTCGGCTTCGAGGTCCGCCAGATAGATGCGGGCGTCTTGGTGGATCGTCAGCGAACCGTCGGCGCCATCGGGCGAGGCGACCAGTTGCAACCGGTTGCGGCGACCGGCCGCGTCGAAAGGCTTTTGCTCGTAACTCGGCTCGTGACCCTCGCGGTCGGGCAGCAGCCAAATCTGGTAGAGGTGGACCGGCTCCGTTGGCGAGTCGTTGAACTCGCTGTGGCGGATGCCCGTGCCGGCCGTCATACGCTGGAACTCGCCGGGGCGGAGCACCTCGCCGTTGCCCATCGAGTCCTTGTGCGCCAGCGCGCCCGACAAAACGTAAGTGACGATCTCCATGTCGCGGTGCCCGTGGGCGCCGAAGCCCTGGCCGCCAGCGACGAAGTCCTCGTTCATCACCCGCAGCGAGCGGAACCGCTCGTGGGCGGGGTCTTGGTAGCCGCTGAACGAGAACGTGTGGTACGTGTTGAGCCAACCGTGGTCGAAGTGGCCACGTTCGTTGGAGGGGCGGAGACGGATCATCGCAGGCTCCCTTTTACTTTCGCGTGAATTGTTGACCAATAAACCATTTAGACAAATAAAAAGCCGCCACTAAACCTCCGCCGCTTCGAACGACTCTCTCGCCCGGCACAGCAGACGGATCAGCTCGGCCAGTTCTTTACGCGACATCTTGCCCAAGAGTTTGCGGTGCAGCTCGCTCAGGGGCTTGTCGATTTTCGCCAGGACGGCGAGGCCCTGCTTGGTGATCTCGACGTACACGACGCGACGGTCCTCGGCGCTACGCTCACGAGATACGAGGCCCTG